TAATTAGAATTACCCTGGTTCTTCCAGTTTCCTAATGAGTTTACTTGATTGTTCTCCCCATTTTTTTCTTCCACTATTAGAATTGTTGTTCCAGTTAAAATTAGGATGGTTTTTCTAACCTGGATTGTAATTGCTCAAATATGGGTTATTTGGTTTATTAATAACATTTATAGAATCAATCATTTGTCCTAATGAATTTTCTTCAATCGTATGAGGTCTTGGAGAAAAAATCATTCCAATTTGATCTATTTCCCTAGATAATGCAAAAACTTGAGATGGAACCATGAAATAGCTTCATTATTATGAATACTAGCTACTTTCTTTAGATTTACCTTTTCAGAGTGTCATTAAAAATTATTTTGTAGCTATCTTTTCAATTAATGAATAAGCTTCATCTAATGGTTTAGACATTAATGAACCTCCAACAACAGTATCAATGATAGATCTAAGTGATCCTACTAACCCATTATACCATTATAAAAAGTTTGAATGATTAACCAGTCTGCTAGAGCATGCTGTGGACACTTTCTAAGGAGTTCCTTAAATCTTTCCCAAGCTTCGTATATTAACTCTCTTTTTAATTGAGTAAAAGAAGTAATATCATTTCTAAGCTTAGCAGTTTTTGAAGGTAGAAAATACTTAACAAAAAATTTTTGAGCTAAATCCCCCCAAGTTCTAATAGATTGGGGTGCTAATGAATTTAGCTACATCTTAGGTTTATCTCTTAAGAAAAAGGAAAAAGTTTAAGTCTAACGACATCATTTGATACACCATCATATTTAAATTTAGCACACAGTTCTAAAAAACCTGTTAAATGTAAATTTGGTCCTCAGATGGTGTTCTCCAAAATTGATTATTTTGTACAATTTGTATAATTGCAGTTTTAAGTTCAAATGAGTTAGCCACTACAACAGGGGTTTGAGTACTTAAATGAATTTCATCTACTGTAGGGTTAGCATAATTCCTTAAAGGTCTTTGTAAATTATGATGTTCATTTTCAGCACTTTGAATATCAATATTATTTTGCGATGTGTTGCCATTACTTCAAAATTGTGAAGTCTTCCTTGTTTTCTAATTTTTCTTATAGTTTGTTGTAATTTAAAATCATAAGGCACTAAACCTTTAAATCCAAAACTATGCATGCAAAAATTAAAAATTTCAGAAAATAAAATAACACACTCAAAATAAAATATTTTTAAAGTTTTAATTTTTAATTTTTTTTAAATTTTTTAGATTTTTTGGTTTTTTCTTTTTTTCGATTTTTAAAAATTAAAAAGTACCAAAATTAATTTTTATATCTCCTAAAAATAAATCTACAGGTCAAATATTGTTCTTTAAGTCAATAAAAATGCTGTTGCGTTCCCCGACAACAGTGCCAAAAACTTGACCCGTAATTACATTAATATTTATATTTCTTAAAATTGCAAAAAAATTGGCCCAAATTATATTTAATGGCTAGTGTGAATAAATGAAATGAGTTTTCATACTAAGGGTACTATGCAAGTATACGTATCGTTTCGAGCAATATATGATTTTCCTAAAAAATCACAGTATCAATCCCACAAGGAAAGCATAAATTTTTAATATTGACTTGCAATACTTCTATCTAAATTGCAGATAAATATGATAAGAGAACAATGTCAATATGTTTGCAATGGTTAAAACTAAACTTAAGTAGGAAGTAACAACTAAATTTAAAAGTTTAATAAAGTTCAAAAGACTCATAAAGTATAAAAATGAGTTTGAATGTTATGTCAACCTAGAAACATCAATTATACGTTCATCAAAACATATCTCCTTATCTATTTGCACTCCCCCTTACGTGATCGCAACGACTCTACCCAAGATGAAATGTGGTCCTTACTAGTTGGTGAAATTATAGCCCCCCACCGTGTCATTATGTTTCTCAATGGATTTTAACAATACAATGACCAGTTTGCAAAGTCAATGAAGAATCGATGAAAATACCATCAGAATGTTTTGAAATAAAAAAAAAATCTTTAAATCATTTTCATCCCACAAGATTAATTCCAAAATGTGAGGAGAAAGTAAGGGAACTACTCAGAATTCATGGAGATAAAATAAAAACATATGATTTGGTTTGAAAGCCAAGTCTTACAGCAAAAACTCAAATACAAATACAAGATACTTATCGTTATGTCTTCTTCCCAAGCAAATCCAGCAGTTTCCTTGAAGCAATCTCCAAACTCTTACACTAAACAAAGATTCTCATACACTCTCTCTCACACACACACTAAAACCTTCAGAAAGACTTCTCCAGCACACCCCCAAAAAGACTCTCTTTTAATCTAGAATTTGGCCCTATTAATAGATAACTAAAAAACATCAAGGTTCACTTCAAGAACCCCTTTAATACGCAAAATTCAATGGATATTCTAGAAAGTTGGTTACTGGCGCTATAGCGCCATTTTAAAGTGCTATAGCGCCCAACCTGCTCAATACCCGACACTATGACATCAAGGGTGGCACTATGACGTCATAAAAAATCTTCCATTTTTGCTCTATTTTCTCCTCATTTTCTCTAAATGTTCATTACATGTTCCTGAAGTAAAAAACATGCAAAATACATTCCTTTAAAGTGCAATATTATAAAAGTTATGCATAAATATGAGCATGAAATATACACTAGAAACAAATACTTTTTAGGTGAATCAACCATCAATGTTACACGTGGTAGAAAGAGGTTGTTTAAAAAAAGACATTCCTCCTTATACAGTGTCATCGAGATGACTTTCGGTGTTTTGAAGAAGAAATGGGTTATACTCCGCGATATGCCATCTTACTCATTTCCCAAACAAGTCCATATTGTGATTGCCATAATGACTCTGCACAATTATATTTGACGCCATCCTTCACGCAACGATGCTAACTTTTGTAGGGCCGACGAGGATCAGTAACATGTATTCCCCAAAGCATTTGAGTACCACCTCGGGCATTCTCTGTCACGAGTTAAAAATGATCATTCCATTTTCTGTACTAGAGAGGGGGAGGGTGTAAGTGAAATCGCGGAGCTAAATGAAAAATTACTGATGCATTAGTAGAAGGTTGATTGGATTATTTGAAATTTATTCTGTACGATGTGTAATTCATTTCCTTCGTAAAAATTTTCTTAACATTCATATTGGATAGTGATCTTTCGGTGCTATAATTCTTTTATTCAAAGGCATTTGTACTTTATATTTTATATTATTGGTTTAAAATTTTTATGCTATTTGTAAGTGTAATTTTTTAATTACTTCTTTTAACAAATTCAAGTCCTGTCTTCTATAATGTATTGTCTTTTGCAAGAATTTTAGGGACATCTCGAGGATTGCTTGCCACTACGGACAACACACTTCCCTACTGACACCACTACGGGAGATAGTTCTATAGCTGTCAGCGGATCGTCACAGAGGAGTGTGACTTTTTCCGGTAGGTGGACAATCCTACAGATTCCACAACCAATAGTGATCGGGAATGGATACCTTCACTAGTTGACAGTGTAGCACGAGGCATACACTGTCTGCATGTTAAAAAAAATATAATCATTATATTAATTGAAATTTTAATAACTAAATAAAATAAAAATATAAATATAATAAAATTCAAATTATATCTATGAAATTCTAAATTATGGACTCTTTATCAAACTTTTGAATAAACTTCGTTGGTCCCTTTTTAAGTCTTCGGCCTTAACCATTGCCATTAGGCTTTAATTTTTATTTTCTTGATCTACAAGATGTGCAACATCAGCTTCCCTTCTAGTTTTTGGTACTAATTTGTGCTCATTACATCTCCTAAGATGCTGGATCTAAATTTATCGATGTAAGATGTCAAAATTTTTAATGCTAGACTTACATGCTTTTAAAGCAAGAAATAAATAGTAAATTGAAAAAGAAAATGAAGAAAAATATTTTCTTAGAGAGAAAGCTTTGAGATAATGTAACCAATTCCTATGGATTCCTTAAAACCTATACATAGAAAATGCCCTCTAATCTTTTATTTATATAATTTTTGGGGCAATAGAAAAATCTACACATTAACCTATTAGGAAATAAATAAAAATAAATGATAAGACTTATTTCAATTACACGTAGATAATGTAGTTTAAATGCCAATACATACATCTTGAAACCTATTTTGATTTCCTTATTGTCTACTTTAAGTTTTTAGTTAGGTGATTGAGATCACAACTCCATGTATAGGGTCACTCATCCTCTAGATGTGTCACAAACTCGTTGAGTGAAATCACTACCCTTAGTAGGGGGCTGGTAAGTGCTCCATGATCTTGTATGACTACTGAGTTAAGATGAGTTGATTTGGTTAAATTTTATGGCCAATTATATTCTAGCAGATCCTTTGAAATATTGGTCGATCCATTTTAATCTCGAGGGAGTGCAAATCAATCTTTAACAAATTTATAGTCTCATTATTTCTGGGCTCTCCTATTCACCCATGTTGAATTAAGCATAATTGCCCAATGGGATATTTAAATAAACACTAATCATTTCAATAGAGTAGATGGTAAGAAAAGATTCTTCAATGTAATTGCTGAGGACACTAAGAAGAATAAATTAATTTCTCATTTAAGTGAGTAAACTACTTATGAACTTAATAGATTTTGAAAGAACTTGTTGCTAAGTTGATTTATTATATATGAATTTCTTTTCTTGTTGGTTTAATATTTTAATGAAATCAACCAATCTTAACTATTATTATTTTTTGATGTATAATTAAAGGAGTGCTTAAATTTTTTTAAATTTGAAAAGAAAAAAAATTGAGAAAATTACTTCGATTTATAAAAAAAATTATAAATCATAAAATTTATTTTAATAAAATCTTTAGATTTTTTTTCAACTTATTTTTTTTGATTAGTTTGCAGCCGGCTTTAAATCGATTATAGATTCCACGACCCAATTTTGATGGATCTTAATTTTATTCGAACTGATTTGATCTACCTCTTTGACCATAAATTTATTTATAAAAAGGTTGCCGTATCACATGACCGTATGCGGGACCGACGTCTGCTCATAGCAGTGAGGAGCTCCACAAGGTTCGGCAAGCAAATCTGGAACAGTATACAGACAAAGGTAAGACCTCTGCCAGCACTTCTCTTCACAGCATTCCGCCATTAATCCAAAACGAGAGAGATGGAGGTGGGAGAGGGCGGATTTGTCCGCGCGGACCAAATAGATCTGAAGAGCTTCGATGAGCAGCTTGAGAGGCATCTTAATCGCACATGGACGACCGAAAAAAGCAAGAAGGAAACAGAGAGTGTCGAAAATGTCCGGGTAGGCTTTGCTCCCGGCGGAAGCAGCAGCAATGTTACAGTTAAAATGAGGGAAGAATGGGAGATTGATCCCTCGAAGCTCGTCATCAAAGGGGTCATAGCCCGCGGCACCTTTGGCACCGTCCATCGCGGTGTCTACGACGGCCAGGACGTCGCTGGTAAGTGGATTTTGAGATGACTAACTTTTTGCATTTTCCGGATACGTTTTTTTATTCTTTGACTTGAATTTATTGCTTGCTTTGCTTAGAGATGGCATCTTGGTCTTTTTCCAGTCCAATTGCTAACCTTTTCTTTCTTTTTTTTTTTTTTTTAAAGTAAATGCTCACCTTCTTTTGAGCTTGGAGATGAGAATCTCTTTTGGCCCTTTTTTTAAAAAAAATTCGTGAAGGTTTTAATCTATTCATTTCGAATTCGATCATTTGGATGACTTCTTTTTCGTATAAAGCGTTGTAATTTTTTCATCTTGATATTACGAGTCTCGGAGGTTTTAGCTGTGCAAAAAGATTTCACTTTGCACTTTCAATGCGTTTTTATTAACTTTACATTGGGTATTGTTGCGTGATCTCTCATCTATTAGTTTTCCAAAGTACTACCCTGTATTGAAGTTGGATAGATTTTTTCTCCACTTGTATTGATGGAAGCCCGTGAGTGTCACGTGGAGGGTCTTGTCCACTTTCCTGCTAGTGGCTTGTTTCTAATGAATTTCCTGGCTTAGCTTTCTCATTTATAGAACTTTCATGTGATTGGTAGTGATCCTAATGAGCTAGTTTATAATTGAGTTTATTTCCAGCGTTTTTCTTGTGACATTATCCGTTCAGCGGAAGAAAGCAATATAAAAAAAAAGGTAAAATAACTCAACTAGACCGTCTATAAGAATAAAAGGGATGGTGGCCTTCTTAAAGTGTTGCATATGGGTTCTTCGATCATGATAGGATAGCAATGTTGTCATAATCATCACTGTGCAGGTTGTAAACAACTAGTATGCTGCTACTATTTTCAAGCAATAACATTAAACTTGTTTTCTTTGGAGCCTAGATTTTAATATCCTTAAACTATTAATGAAATATGCTGTACTACAACGTCCAAGTATACCTAAGTGGGCCTCAAATTCTACTCCAATATAATATATCTTCTTGTTAAGTTTATGATTATAGTGTACATCTAAATGTGTATTTTGACATGAATAAGACACATGTCACGACCCGGCCTGGGACTTGGAATTAACCAAAACGAATACAGACAATTGGAAAGTGGGAATTAAGTTTTCTATGTTAATTTACTCTAACTATTAACAAATGAAAAAACCGCTAAACAAATAAAGTTAAAGCAGTATAATTAAAATTTATCTCATAATAGATTGTCTGTGACTTCTATAAATATTTTTTCTTATATCGTTCATCTTTTTAATCAATTATTCAAACCTAGAAAATTTGCTTAAAACAATATTGAGCTAAACATTGCCAGTGAATACTTATACTCCGAAACTATAGTAACACAATGAAAATTGAACAATATGCATGCTAGTTAAACTTTATGTAAATCAATCTAAGATCATTTGAATGTACTATTTAATATGATTACTCAAGGTGATTTTAAGTTTTTAATGTATCTTAGTATTTTGTTTACATATCAATCTTTTTAATATGTATATATCTGTCACAGGAACATCATCTAAAATTGTACCATTTAGGGTACTTCAATATCATTATCTTTTTTCTTTAACATGCACCTTAGTTTTTTTCTGCTAGTACTATAGAAAAGTGATTCCATCATAACCAAATATGCACATACAAGCAATTAAAATAATTAATTTTATTCTTATTTTATTTTCAAACCATTTAATAACTTGAATTATGTATTTAAATAACATGCAAATATTAGTGACACACACCCTATATGATCAAATGAACTTAATGAGCCAGTAAAATCTAAGAAATTCATTGAGTGAACTAGATTTAAAAGAAATCAAATATTACTACAATTTAAAAATATAATTACTCATCTGCTTAACTTGTTTATCACACTGATTCCTTAACCCTTGTTCTTCTTGGCTTAAATGTTCTTCAACCCAATTTACTGTTAAACATTAATATTTTTTATTAAATATTAATTCTAAATTAAATTGAATTTTAATTAAAACATATCCTCTCTTCCAAAATGAATCGATCCTCGATATTACAACTGTATCTCCCTTAATTTTATCATGATTTTAGATACCTTTACTGTTAACACTTAATGAATAAATTTGAATTTTCATATAAGATTCATTAATAAAATTAGTACAATCTCAACTTACCTTAAATCACAAGTTAGGATTCGCTAGACTTTCTCTCTTCACTTCACGCATGCGACTCTTTCTCTTTCCTCATTATGGAAGTTCCTGTCACCTTACACTCTCTAATCGGGACTTTATAGCTTTCTATTAACACACTATTTAAATAAATATGTATTCACACACACACATAATTATTCATATAACATTATATTAACTTATTAAATTATTAAAAATATCTTTTTTTCTTGTAGTTTGGCCCCTGCTTTTGCTCCACACATGACCGCACCTACATCGGTTGTTGATCTTCCTGCTGCTACGCGAATGCGACACGTCCTCCACCTCCTTCGTATGACACAACTCAGGCTAGGTTCGCCTCTTACTTCCTCTTGATAGAAATTATTGCATACGGACACCGCATGCAGAGACGCATGCAGTGCCGATCTACACCGTAGATAACAGTGATCTACGGTGAGGATGTATTTCGGTGGACCCTACTTTAAATTTTTTTATTTTTTAAAAAAATTTTGATTGCATCCTCACTGTAGATCACCGTGATCTACGGTGTAGATCGGACACCGCATGTCCTTGTGCAATAATTTTCCCTCAAGAGGAGGGGCAAATTTTTTTATTTTTTAAAAAAATTTTGATTGCATCCTCACTGTAGATCACCGTGATCTACGGTGTAGATCGGACACCGCATGCATTTCTGCATGCGGTGTCCGTATGCAATAATTTTTCTCTGATAGAGCTGCTCCTTCCTCCTTCAACTTCTTCCGTCAAATTAGGGCACAACAATTACGTCATACGCAGTGCTCAACTCCCGTCTTCCTTCCTCTTCCTTCGATCACGACTCAACGCAGCAAAGCACTGTGATTCTCTTCTTCCTTTGAGCACAATGCACGGGGTTGCTTGGTAGGGCACGCCGTCGTTTCCTCAGGTAAGAAAATACACAACTCCTCTCCGTCGTTCTTTCGTTTCCCACTCTTCATTTCTCTCGCTTGCTCTCTCTCTTTCTCATCTTCTGTTCGTTTCTATTGTTACTTTGGCTCAAAATATGTGCCCTCCCGTAATAAGAAGCTGCCAATATTCTTCATTCGAATTGATACAACGTATTAAAATTTATTTTCTTTTATTATTTTTTATTTCATATTTCAATTATTACAATCCCCCCTCATAAAAAAATTTTCATTGAAATTTTTATAATCTACTTCAAAGCCTTAAATCAATGTTGGAAACACATGAACCATCCATAAATTTTCATAAAAAAGTTTCTTTTTCTTTAAGATGGAAAATGAATACAATAAAATAGATAACTCAACTAAACTTCTCCCATCAATTGAAACAGGGTAATATTATGCCTAAAGCTAGGTAACATAACAATAACACCACTCATCCTCTGATAAAGACATACACTAGAATGCAACTCATATAACATGCAGTAAAACATGAAACTCATCAATCCTTGGCTGCATCAGGTTCTTCAAGCTCTATACTAGGAAGATAATAAACTGAAGATCGAGTTGTTGTCCGGATTAAACTTGAATATGAACTGAAGCTGTAGACTATATCCTTCTCTACCCACCTGTAATAAACTGATTTATGATGTTCTGATGTTTTTTGGCCAAGTGAAGGCAATACCTAAATATGTGACCAAAATGATGACGCTAGTAGCATGGATGATAGCCCATCAAACATTTACCCTTATGTTGCTTTCTAAATTCGACACAAGTGACTACAGTACTACGGGAATTGCTACCACTGAATCTATCAGAATTAAACTTGGGCTTCTTCACATTGACTTCTTTCCGATTGATCCACATTCTCTCCTTCTTCAACACGACTTGTATTGTTTGTCTCCTTAACTTCTGAATAAGCTGGAAATCAATCTCTACTCATCTAGTCCGCTTCACTAACACTGAATAGCCATCAATTCCCAAAGATACCAACGACTGCTTGATTGAATCCTTTAATCCCGAAATAAATATGTAGCACTTATCTGTTGCTATAGCTATCAGCTGTAGGGCATATCTTGATAGTGTTGTGAACTCTGCTTCATACTACATGACTGTCTTTTCTCCTATACCAACTTGATAAACTTGTCTTGCATCTATCTTCGAGAGGATAGAGGTACAAACCACTCCCTATAAAGCTCAATGAACTCCTCCTAACTTATCATCATGTTGTGTATGTCCTCTAAACTGTCCCAATACTGCTCACGCCACCTCCTTTCGGCTTCTCTATCCAGCACAAATGTTTCTAAAGATTCTCTTCTTTCGTCATGACACGCCATGCTATCAAATATCTTCACTTTCCTCATTGGTTCTTCACTTCAATCAAATCTTTAGTTCCCTTGAACAAAGGTGGACATATATCTTAAAGTACCTTCAAATATTTATTCACAGCAATTGTATTTTTTCTAATAGGCTACGATCTGAACTCCTGAATCAACTGAGTCATCGCCCCCATTATTTGAGTCAAAACATTTGTATTAAGATTAACAAACAAGCGGTACTTCTGCAATTTTTAACGGACTTCTCTTTTCTATAGTCTCAAGTGCATCCATTTGTCTACAACAACAACAACAACAAAGCCTTAATCTCACTACGTGGAGTCGGCTACATGAATCATTTTTTCCATTGCGTCTTATTTAGAAGTGCATCCGTTTATCTGAATTAAAATAATTATTTAATTAGTGTTAACTTAAAATTTCAAATTTATTATTATTAAAATTTTCTTGTAATTATCCAACTAGCTCTTTCATCAAGATTATGTTAATTATTCCCAAACCTTTGCTCTGATACTACTGTTGTCATGATCCTGGGGCTTGGAATTAATCAAGATGGGTACAAATAGTTGGATTGTGAGAATTAAGTTTTCTAGATT